ACCCAAACCATTCTATGATTCTATAAAGAAGCAACACTCAAACACTTACCATTTTCTTTGCTTTCATAACCTTGTAGCGATCGAAGTCAGTCATTTTGGCTTTCTGTTTGAAAAGAATCAGTCATGAAGCTCTGATACATACATAGGCAAGCAGTAAAACTCCAGTCTTTCAAAGCATTCCACAAGTAACTCAGATCATCTCCAAATTAGGTTTAGCTGCATATCTGGAACTAGTTCACTATTTAAAGCCTTTGCTGGGAATTGATGGTGCAGGCAAAAAGGTGGTTCTACAAATGACCGAACAAAACCACCCTTACTGTTGAAATACAGTAAATTGAAGTTGCTAGGTAGCAACTTTTTAAAAATCTATGCTTTTCTGTCTGTAATCTTAGCCTGCAATTGAAAATACATAGTTTATTATATTGCACCTGATTTTAATAAGGAGAAACAATGCAACGTTTATTACTCATCCAGTGAAAAACTGTACCTTTTCTCGAGCTTCAATCTTCTTTGCCCATCTCGTTGCTGCCCATTTTTCATTTATATTCTCCTTCTCCCAGGCAAGTCGCACACACTTCTGACGAGCACTGTATTAGAAAAGTCACAAAGTCATATTCACACCCTTCATAATAAAAGGTTCTCTCAAATGCTGGCCGATCAAATTTCACACAAGGGAAGATCACCCTTCTACATTATTTCAGATGCTTACTTCAAGTCAATGCCACATACATCTCTGTGGCTTAGTTAACATTTTGTTTTGTAAATGCTTTGCCAGGGCTGATGGATGAACAACTCCAAGACATATGCTCATGCACTATCCCTAGCACTGCTTCAGAATCAGAGAGGCAGGAATTTTTTTTTCTAAATTGCAGAAACTTATATAGTAACTAAGCTGAAGAGAACAGAATGAGTTCAGCCTCCTGCAATTCCAGTGTAGTTCTGTAGGCAGTGAACGTATTTAATGTCTGAGGGTGACCTAAGCAGTAGTAAAAACAAAACCACACAGTATTTACTACAACTGCTTCTCCCTACACCATCCACCCCACAACTATCTGCAAGTTGCCTAGGCCAGTGTGCTATTTCCTTTGCTCCTGAACAGGGGTTACCAGCCAATACTGACAATGAAAACTTCATGTATTCAACTATGATAACACTTGTCTACCAGACTTCTACAGTGCACACATGCTAATCCACTGACTTAATATTGTATGAACTTTGTAGATTTAGCAAACGTCAGATCACATAATTCAGTCATCAAATGACAGCATATTTTTTTACACAGGTCAAAAAAATGCCAACAACTCACCTGTGTGGGAACTTGAGAACAAAGTCAGTCAGCTGCATGCACTTGAAGGGCATAGCCTGCCTCCTGACACCACTGCAGGGGCCATCAACTAGTGCCTGAAAAAATAAAACAAATGTGGGGTTCTTCAAGCAGTTTTCCCATCGTATTTGATTTAGACAGCAGTTTCCCAATTATGTACAGTATCTTGACAACAATGGTCCAAAATTGAAATAAAACATTATGCAGACAACACCCAAGATCGTTAAGTCTTGCACAAACAACCGAAAGTCTACAGAAAGAATTTCAAAGGCCCATCTTTGTCTTTGGAAAAAAAAAAAAAAAAGAACTTTAAAACACATACACAGAACTAACATGACATATTTCATCTTTCTTTCTTTTTCCAGCTTTTTCAAGAACATTAAGCAGAGTCCCCTAGACAAAACATTTACTTTAAACATACATTAATGACATTCCACTGGTAAGCTTTAAGACTCCAACTAACATCAATGGTACACTTCTACTCCTAAGAAACACAGCAAAGAGTGGAATGTATCACTTACCAGTGAAAAACGCCTGCTACTGAAAGTTTCATATACAACAGCTGTTAAATCCCACCTTTTTGTCAACCACTTATTTCTTTGAAAAAATCCATTCACAGAAAATTTCCTTTAAAGTCGATACACTCTGTTTTAATGTACAAGCTTTTGTTTAAGGCAGAAAGGAGAAAATAAAGGTATAGCACTCCTAACTTACCCTGTTTTGGTCAATAACATCCACAATGGCCACCAGCTTGCCAGCATGTGGCCCGAAGGAAATGAAGGCAATTCTGCCAATCTCGACGAAGCGTTTGAACACCTGGGAGCAGCAAGAATTGACAGGAGTGAGGCGAAAATAGACACCTAAGTCCACTGCTTCATTCAACGCTCTCACAGCCTTTGAATCAGGTTCCCCAGCTCACTTCACTTGAGCCAAGAACCCCCAATTACACCCTCAACTGCTTTTCACCAGCCCTGACCCGCGTGGAGACTGCAGGCAAGCAAAGGGAGAGGCGCCGGCGAGAAGCGCCAAGAGTCAGGGGCACACGCGCCGGCTCCGACCGTACCGGGCGCTGTCCTCACAACACGCGCAGGGCCCGGGCCTGGCCCAGCCCGACACGAGT